CCTGCTTGCCACCAGAACTCCTCCAAACGATCAGTTCGTAAAATCCAGCAGTTTCATGGACCGGACGAGTTGTCCTCCCCAGAAGGTGCGCTACACAACCTGTCATGACATGTCGGTGGCAATCCGATTGCGCCATACTGCCCAGAAACCCGACGGCTAGCTCCAAGCGACATATAGAGAGTGCATTGTGATCTGATGATGTTCCATTTCTGTGACCGGTGGTTCTGTGCAGGCTAAAAATGCTGCTTGTTGCTGATAAACGTGATGATGTCAATGATAGCGGTATGCAACCCATATCCTATAGATGAAGAGGGTGTGGCCGCGCATTTCATTTGACAGTGGCGGCATTGCTGTTTCGTTACAGTTGTAATCACCTGTTGTCTGAGACAAGAGAAGTGTCTCAAAAGAAATGCCTAGCGCGAAAAACGTACACTACGCCGTGTTCAAATGAAGCACGCAGCCACGCCCTCCCCATCTCCTGGATATGGAGTGTAATTGCTGTGCACAATTGGTGTGCTGCTTAATGTGTGTGTGTTTTGTACACTGAAATCTGTGCTTCTGTGCTAAAGATAGAATCGACTGAACAATCAATCATATATTCGAAATAAAACTGAAAACTGATGAAGAACTGGTGATGAAAAACACAATCTCTCGTAATAGAGACATATGTATATTGCCATTAGATGTGTACAAATACAAGCATTAACACACCATATTGAATGCGCATTAATGAAATAATAAAGATTCTATACATACAAACACGCTACGATGAATGGACGACGTGGATGTGAAGAAATGTGGGTCCCGTGTGGAAGAAATGAAAACGTGTGAAAACTGGAATGCAATGAACTGCTGAACTGATAGTACATGTATAGAGTTCTTCGCGAGTGAGTGGTAGAAAGACACTAGCCATGCCTGAACAGTGGTGAGTGCTATAATTGGTCCTGAACAGAAAACAACGTTCACGAGGCAGGTGTGGATGGTGTCTTTTTGCAAGCACTCAGTGAAAAGCAGCAAATGATTATACACAATGATTATACAATAACAGGACCACTAAAAAAGGGAATACGAACAAGAGAACCGTAATTTGCCGCGCCGTCGCGGCGACGATGTGCGCGGGAAATTCAAACTGTGCGCCAGTTTCTCGACTGTAGCCGCGAAACTCGCGGGAACCGTTCGCATATATTTTTTCCATATTTGCGCTAATATTTCACGTGTTTTCCTATTTTCTTGCTGTCACAGCTGACAAGGTGGAGTATCAACAGCACCTGCCCGTCCCTTTAATATACAATTTCGAACGGCCAACCAGGAGAATTCGTCTCTGGCGGCGCGGCGTCGCTCGCCACGCCTGCAAGCGCGGCAAATTACGATTCTCTTGTCACATACCCCTAAAAGGTGTGATAGGTGTGATAATGATAACAAGTGAGGCGCTTTGACCCTAACAACCTTTGAAAAAGACGTCATCACAGACCGTAAATACACGACAATCAAGGAGAAATGCTTGGGGAAAAATGTATCTGTGGTGTGGGCGTGGGTGTGTGTCTTTAGATTTATGCATCTGTGTGTGGGTGCAATTGTTTATATCTGTGTTGTGTATGTGCCTGGAAGGACAGAAAAATAGGTGAACCATCTGGGGTTTTTCCTAGAATTCTTAGGATTTTTTCAATGGCGGCAGGAAAATCCCCGGGTAGAAACATCCATCACTCACCTAACTTCAAACTACAAATTATCGATTGATCGTTGAGATCATAGACAGGTAAAGCTCTCAATCAATATATATTCTAGGCGCAGCGGCGGCTGTGTGGAACATAAAAATGAGGTACAAATGCGCAAAACTGCTGGGAAGTGCTGCTGTCTAAGAACAACTGTGTTGGTGGGTGTATGTGCTTTGTGTGGCTGTGGGAAACACATGTGGGGAAACGTCCAGTGAAGGGATGATGATGAGAAAATCGCTGTGAACTTGGCGAACAATATGGACGCGACGCCCAAAAGTACAAGGTCACCCGGTATCGATCCACAACATTGCAATAAATGCCAAGTAATCGCGAACTGATCGATGGAGAGTGGGTGAAAGGTGTGGGTGGGTGGGTGATGGTGGAGAAATGCTCATGAATTGCGGATAAGAAATGCTGTGTTGTGATGTGTGTGGGTGGATGATCAGGGAAAGATTGGAAGACAGGCATCTAAGAAAAGCTCAATCATACCAATCAATATCATCAAAAATACCGTAAAATAATATTAAAAGAAATGCGAAAAATGAAAACTGTAATGTAAAACTGTAAAACGAATGAATGAACACATAAAACATTATTATGTAACAAATAAGTAAATCACTCAGCCATTTACGTCAGCCATTTTGTTACGGGCATATTCGATCCGGATACCTCCACGGTCCGAGGATCCCAAGTGGAATCCTTGCAGGGCCATCATAGCACTGGTTGCTGAGGCTAGTGAAGAGTACTCGATAAATGCCACGGAAGAACCGTTCTTTGTGTGCATTCGTAGTCGAGTAAATCCGGCAAATGCCTTGAATACAGAACGCAGCTCGTCCTCGGTAACACCAGGGCTCAGATTAGCCACGAATAGCGTCGAACAGCCTTGAAGTGAGGCCGCGTTTTGGGCATTAAGTCCCAAAGCAGCCTGTAGGAATGCATTTTGGTGATAGCCACCATCAGACGAAAGAATACCAGCTAGTGGTACGGAGGGGGTGACGGAGGGAATTCGTGGGAGATTCAGCGAGAATAGTTGATGCTGATCGAATAATAGAGGATGTTGATCGAACAGAATCGCATCGGCGGGTTGAAGTGGGGCCAAAAACTGGGGCATGGTCTGCAAGGATGGTGCAGCCATGGGAATCACCGGTGGAGGTGATTGTTTCGGTCGACTGACTTTTGTGTTCGATTTGGCCAATTCAAGACGTAAAACTTGAGCACAATCCGGGTCAAAACGAACACCTTGCAAAGCCTTACGTGCTTCCTCAGCATCCTTGCTAGTCTGGAAGGTGACGAATCCAACGGGCGAAGTCGGTTTGCCATTTTTTGCCGTCATTTTGAGCAATGAACTCTCGTAACCACGATAGGCACGGAATAACAGATAGAGTTCACGAGGTTTCGCATCCATTGGAAGACCAGAGACGAATAGGGTCCGAACTTGAGGACAGGAATCCGTACTGACAGAGTTCAACGACTCCATGGAAATGGCGGGCGCCAGCTTGCCACCATCCATGTCGCAGGCCGGCAGGTAAACTGGCCCTCTGCGGGCGGACGCCTCGCATTGCCTACGCGTTGCGGCGCCGCTCCGCCCATTCGCCGCGGGGCACCGTTGCCGGGCAACCTCCCGCTCGCCTCCCCTAAGCGCTATCTGAGAGACGTGACATCATTGCAGATTTCCAAGGATAATGGCCCACACATGGAATTTACTGGATTTCGGCAAAGTATGGCGACGGAGGGGGGCATTTGGCACGTTTCACTGGTTCCGGTTGACAAGTTTCAGTCTGGTTAAACCTGTGAACTCTGGTGAAGCTAAAGCAAGCTCGTCAAGCCACCATGATAAAACCTGTCAACTCTTGTAAGCTCATGAAATAGCTGCCTAGATGGGCCGACACGTCGGGGAAGTAGTAAAAGTGCAAAATGCCCTCCTCTCCCTCCCGGTCGCCTAACTGTCCCCTGGTTTTCTCCCTACTCATTTGCTTCCACGACAAGGTACAGCATCGTAATGTGTGAAGTGGTGATGTAGGTACGACCCCCTCCCTCCGAGAGAGGGTGTCACTCGACCCCCCCTAAATAGGGAGTCTCGCGTGCGACACCCCCCGCTTTCTCTAAACACCTACCACTTAGGTCCAGTTTTGTCACCCAGAAAATTTTCACGCTCGAGCGTAGGGGGAGGGGATCGCCATCGTGAAACCGGAAAATTCTGTGGATTTTCCACAGCTTCCTTTACCATTTCTCGCGGAACTTCCCGAAGATTTTTCTGCTTTCGTCCGAGCGGTGGGGGGGGATAGTTAACACGCATGCAACAGAGAAAGGTCACGCCAAAATCACGCGGGAAAAGTCAACAACCAGGAAAAATTTTTTGCAACGCGGAAAATTGCTCTTAAGGGCACATACACCCCCTCTCAATACGACCCCCTTCTTCCCAGCGGAACAGTACGACCCCCTATGTGCTTCACACAATGATGCTGTACCCTGTTTCACGACCCTTCCCATCAAGACACTTCTCGCCGTTGGAGAAAGTTTATGCAAAATATGACCCCTAAAATTTCCTCCACCGGTACGACCCCTTGCCCCATCCTACCTATCACCTTTCTGAATTCTCCCAACTTCTTACCACTTCTTTGCACTTTTTTCTTTTCAAGTTCCTTCACTTTTTCCCCGAGGAAAACTATCCTCGCCGGGCGAGCGGAGATGGGAGAGGGGGTAATCACTTAAAACAGGAAAAATTGAGGAATGTCAACAACCAGAAGCATTTTCCTCAAAGTTTTTCCCCCACTACGACCCCTTCCCTCCGATGACCAAATACTGCTCCTCTTGCTGGAGATCCCCAACGAGGGACGTGCTCTGTTTCCCATAAATCCGATAAAAAAATCTCAATGTAACTTGTAAGGTCGCCACGTGGGTAAGTGCCTTTCCTGTTGTCCTTTGACATAGGTGACCCATTTTTCCTACCTCATCCTTCCCTATCAGGACGATATTGAATCAGCAAGAGGGTCTGACCTTGACCTAGTCTCTGAAAGAGAGGCAAACGTACGGTAGGATCAAGATCAGGGTTTGCCCTTTTGACTCAAAAAGAGGCCTCATTTCGATCAGTCTTATATGTGACCGTGACTGCCTCCCCAAGTGGATGAGGATTAGATCAAGTTTGAGCCAGATATTTGTCTTGGACAGCAAACTTTTTGAAAGAGCGGAGTCCATGTCAGGCCTAATACCTTGGAGGGAGCATTCAAAGGATACTTCGTGCCAGTTGGAATCACCGCTACCCGAATAGAATTACAGTACTTCGAATTGGTTCACCCACCCAAGAGCTATTTTCAAACCTTAGCCCCAGGCAATGGGCCACATCTCTACCACGGTATTTCTAGTTTTGCACAAGAGTCCTATGTCCCCTCCAAGGTTATCAGCAGGCATCTGTCATTAATGAAACATAAGCTGTAAGGTTCGGAAGCAGCACTACTCGCCGAAGGGGCCATATTTGAATTCACAGTCCTTCACTGGGCTATTGGTACTCTAGGGGTACATTCGGCAGAAAATCGCAATTTTCTGGCGAGCAGTTTTGAGAGGGTAAAGGGTAAAGATGAATGGTGAAGTGTTCCGATAGTTGATGACCCTTGCTATCTGCTATGTGCCATTTGCTTCTACTTCACTCCAATCGCGTAAGAAATGACCTGCTGAAAGTTGACGCGGTGTTGGTCGAGTTTACATTTTCCAGGCTCTCAGCAGCAAGAAACGGAGACGGAATCCTCAGCATTATCTTTACCATGAAGGGAATGCAGTTTGGTGTTGGTGGAGCGCTGCCCCAGCAAATGGTAGTTCGCAAAGAAGTACATCGTCACCTTGTCGGGGGACTTCGTCAATTCCCTTAATATAGCGTCTATTGCTAAATTTAGCTGCCATCATAATCTTTTACACGTCTCAACCTGTCACTTGACATGATCTAGCAAAGGAAAACTACGAGAAAGCTGCCAAAATGCCCCCCTCCAAGTCGAACAAGCTTCATATAACGTCGATGCCAAAAGGAAGTAGATGGAGTGCAGGTTTTTCTCTCCGTCTTGGTCTTTGTTTATACGGCGCTGAAGCAACTTATAGCAGATTGAACTAGAAGAGTGAAGCTCGTGATTACGTCGCGGTTATATTCGAAAACAGGTTTCGAGCCTATGAAGAAAGGCGATGCCAGCTATCGCTGGAGGCAGGTTGTCACTACCTGATTATAATTGCGAAAACTTGTCTTTATCGAGTATTTAAAGATCTGCAAACCCATGACGGCCACAGTTAGCACGCTAAGATACGGTACATGGTGATGAGGTGATCGGTGATCAATTTCTCTTTTCATCGTAATGTTGCAAGTGCTAGTTTAGCACAGTGAAGGTACCCCGCAAAAATTGATGGCCGTCCAGCCTCCTAAACCATCGACAGCCGAAAACAAAGACGCCAGTCGGAGAATGGTCTCAGACTCACCTGGAAGGATCAAACATTGACGGTGCGGAACGAAAACAGGACTATGTCTGAATTTCCTCGCTAAGTTATCTAAACTCCTTCTTCGATTTGCCCCACTAAATAAGGATATTTGATCTACCATCAAGAATCGGATACTGGGCGCTGATAACCGGGGGGAGGGGGTTCAAGCCACTTGTAAACTTTCTCATTAAACTTTAACTTTATTTTTTTCTTTTGTCTTTTCATAGCCATGTCTCAATCTGCCAGTCCTGTAACTTCCTGCCAAGTAAAATGTAAAGTCCTGTATGGCTTGGCGAAATGGTACTAGCGTCATAACACCACTCACCATTTTCTTCTTAATCTTGACCACTCATTTTGACAAGTTCAATAGGAGGCTACAGGGGACTTGATAGGTTAACAAAGGGGTTGTTTCAAACTTGTTCAGTTAGCACATGTGCACACTTTACAGGATTTGGTATGCCCCCCCCCCTTTCTCCCAAGATTATTAGCGACGATTACTGAACTATACAAAGGATAAAGTCTTCGCCGTTGATCAATCCCTTTGTGGGATGCGGCACGCATTCTACTTCCATTCAGAATCGTAGTGGCTTATTGAATGCGATGTGGCCTATACAATGACTTGGGGGGGGGGCAGCCGATGTACAAGTCAGTGTTTTATCCTCCCAGACAAATCTGGTACCAATTCTGCCGTTCTCGGAGGATAGAAAGCTTGGTTGGCGTGGGCGGGAGCCGATTCCAGATTTGATCTCCAGAGCGTGTTCGTGGTAAGCGTTCCACTGGCCACTATACCACCTCCGCCTACTGAACTATGCAACTCTGAAATTCTGAGCTCCATCATAATACACTACTGCAAAAAGATACACTACTACATTGCGAAAGTCAGTCCCGACAATTTACAGTATTTGTCGAATTCCCTTCAAAAGTCACTGTGACTATGAATGAACGTAGAATGTGTGCGCATCCCAAAAGGAACAGATCAACTTCGTAAGCTGCCAAGGTTTCCCCTTAAGAAAGCCCTTTTTAGGGCACTCACCATGTACTTTTTCTTATCTCAATGAGTGTACCGGAAATCGATCTTTATAGGACGTGTGTTTACAATGTCATGCCCCGCTGAAAGGGTTGTTTTTGGCGCAGTGCCAGTTTGCTTGCCGAAACCTTTGAAGTCACTGCGGAAGTGTTTTGTTTGTTCTGCTTGTCATCACAAAGTTCATTTATGTGTTTCTATGTGTTTTCCCGTGCGCACGCACTCTCGGTCGTTCAGGGCAAGCGGGGCACGTCGTGGGTGAGAGTATCCAGAGAGGGGAGGGGGTCTTATTTGGTCGTTGGAGAGTGGCCCAATCTAAACTTGTGGGAATTTTTGCCGGTTGTTGACTTATGTGCTTTTCTCCTTCTTTCCAATCTGTTATCCTTCGGCTTCGCTCGATGGCAAAAATTTGGGGGGGGGAGGATCTGAAACAGTTGTGGAAAATTGAAGGATATAGGTGGTAGGCAAGTAAGTTGAGAAAAGTGTAGATGCCAATGTGATATGGTAGTAGTAGGTAGTAAATAAGTAGATAAGCAAGGTAGGTAGGTAGGCAGATAGGTATGTAGGTAGGTAAGTAAGTGGGTAGTTGGTAGGTAAGTGGGTAAGGGAGTAAATAAGCAGGGAAGTAGGTAGGTAGACATGTAGATATGTAGGTAGGGTAGTGGTAGGTAGGTAGGTAGGTAGGTAGGTAGGTAGGTAGGTAGGTAGGTAGGTAGGTAGGTAGGTAGTTGGGTAGGTAGGTAGGTTGAGAAAGGGAAAGGGGGGGGTTGCCGTAGGATCGTATCAGAGGAGCGAATTGGGGGAAGGGTCATATTCTGCAAATTGGGGGGGGGTGTATTTGCCTTTGGAAAAATGTCTACTGAGCCGCAAGGTTCTACTTGAGAGATTTATAAAGGAAGCAGCGAAAATCGTCAAATACGCTTGAATAGGGCTTTATTCCCACCCCTGACGTCGTTTTCGTCCCCACACCCCCCCCCCCAAGGCAGGTTTTTGGGGAGAAAGTGAAAATTTCCCAGAAAAAGCTCTGGAAA